GCATAATCCTGTACCTAAGATATGATGGCGGTATGTGGATGACATTTGGTGTATTGAAATCGGAACATATCAACAGTCTTCTCACAAATATAAACTCAGTATTGGACGCAATCCAGTTCACTTACGAAGAACAAAATGAGCAAGGAGAAATACCTATGTTGGATTGCAGAATAAAACGAAGGACAGACGGTGGTTTGGATAATACCATCAACAGGAAACCGATAGATTCTAACAGGTATCTAGACTTCACATCATTTCATCAAATGTTAGTTAAGGTGGTTTAATCGAATGTTTAAATGACAAAGCTAAGATGCTCACTAATCATTGTAGAGACTTAAACAAGGAATTGAAACTCATAAAAGAAACGTTAATAATTAATAATTATCCTCTGCAGTTTATTAAGAAATTCGTACGAACATATAAGAGACGAGATAATAACAGTAATACGAATACGAATAGTGGCGAAAACACAAGTAAAAAGGAGTTCAAAGCCTCCATTGTGTTATCATTTAAGCAAGGAACATCCGAAACTTTGCGTAAGATTCTCAACAACGTTAGAATTAGGGTGGCATTTAAAGCTACAAACTCACTCAGGGATAGGCTTTGTCGGCTTAAGGATCCTATAGATCCAATTAAGTAAAATAATCTAATGTACCAAATTTCGTGCAACGACTTTGAGATCAAGTATATCAGTCAAACTAGACGGCCGGTGTCGGCTAGATTAGAGAAACATAGAAAGTTAACTAAATAAAGAATGGCAGACCCCAGTAAGATCAATAATCTAGAAAAACACTCGACTATCGCTATGCATAAATTAACGTACAACCACACAATAGGGTGGGATGAAGACACTATGCTTCATTCCAATATTATTAGGTGGAGAGGGAGATTGATTACTAAATTTTTTCAACTAAGTCTTCATCTTACGCTCTACACTAATATATAGTTTTATAATTTAATCAAACTACCTATCACATGGTGATGTTTTAGAAATAACGATGTAAATGATCAATAGAGTTACTAAAATTGAAAATATGAAGCAGGCTATTCTTAGGTAAATAGAGCGATTTTCGATGAGTGTTCAGTCATTCGCAATAAGCGATTACGTAATGATAAGAAAACAAATGAATATTAAATACAAAGACTGGGTTTGTAAAAGTTGGATTGCAATTGCCTCTGCTATGTGAAGTAAGCGACTGCGTAATCCATATGGTAAATTAAATGGAATCTGAAGAATGATCTTGAAAAGTTTTCTAGTAACCACTTGATGTCCCGTGTCAACTAGATGTGCAATGGACAAATTAGAACAACAAAGAGCTCCATACTTGCACACTTAGTTGATATGCGACATCAAGTGGATACTAGAAAACCTTTCGAAATTATTCATTATATCCCAATTAATTTACCACACGAATTACGAAGTCGCTTACTTCACATAGCAGAGGCAATTGCAATCCAACTTTTACAACCCCAGTCTTTGTATTCAAAAGAAGTTTGTTCAACCACTTTCATCACCATGGCCGTCAACATGATGTAACTTCTAAGGCTACTTTGTACACCTTTTCTCCTTACTCATCTGTTTTATCATTACGTAACCGCTTATTGCAAATGACTGAACACTCGTTATTTCTAAAGCATCGCCATGTGATTGGCGATTTGATTAAATTGTAAAATTGTATACTTGTGTAGAGCGTATGATGAAGACCTAATTGAAAAGGAATATACATTTTTTTTCACTGGTTTAATCAGTCTTTTACCAAATGTCTAATTGAGAGTATCCAATGTACTGAATCTTTGTTCATCGAATCCATACCCAACAAGTAACAGAAATGATGCCACACTTTTATCAGAGATATGGAAGATTTTAACTACTGATAAAAACAAAGAGTATAGGGTGACAGGACCATAAAGTAGTGTGATTACATTTGGTATGATTATCAACAATAATTTATGCTTAAAACGTTATCAAGCAAATAATACTGTGTCATTGTCCGCTATTTCAAATATATAAATCTAATATGGAGTTATATTCTACTACAATGCCCAAGTTTTACACTTTTAATACTATCTGATATCTATTTTCCATACTATAATTGTTTTATTATTTGTGATCGAATCACATCATTAACACATTCTGTAGAAAATTTCTGCAAATTCTAATCCATTGTTCCAGATGTAGCAAAGACTTGCACCAAGGCTTATAGAAAAGACTTCCTAACAGTACGAATAATAAAAATGTTTTAGCAGTAAATGTTAATGATAAGCAGATTGCTTTCAAATCACTGGAATAAGACACAATGATCAGTGTTTTTCAACTTTTATATAGTGTAATTTCCTTCTGATGAACTTTATGATCATTTGTCCTTACTTACATCTTGATTGACACCATAGTTTAATAATTCTCATTGTAACATTAAGAACAAGAAATTCAGTGGAGATAATCTTCAAGGAATTTATTTTCAAGTTGTACATTCGTGATAAACGATAACAAAGTAGACTCCATAATATATGTAGAAAGTCATTTTAGCTATCTGACACAGACGTAGTTTCGAAGACTAGTATTGAAATTAGGCCCATAAATACTAGACAACCAGTGTGAGTACGATCAAGCGATAGTAACGCATCATAAATTCACATGGTAGTCAGGCAAAACACTTGGTGACTGAAGTGAAATAAAATATCTGCTCAGCAGTCTGACTTTGTAACTCAGTTTGTAGAGCGTCGGGCGGGAAACTTGGTGGCCGGTGGTTTGAATCCGGCCGCGGTTCAAATTTTCATTTCACCTTCAATCGTCACCTAGTATCAATATGTAGAATGGTTCATAGAACGTATATAACTCAGAAAGGGGTCAAAAGATGATGAGAGTGGTAAATCAACAAAGTATTATGTAATAATATTAAACAAGTTGCTTATAATGAAATCAACCTTATCTATAGAGACTAAAACAATTAAGTGAAATGATACCGGAAACTAAACAAAGTGAAGGTGATTATAATAACAACAATAGTAATAAAGGACGGATACCAAAGGGAAACTAGTGGGGGTGAGAAAATGTCATCGCTATGACAAAAACAGTGACTGTATATACTTCTTTTGTACACACAGATCAGGTTTTAGTTCATGTATAGCTGAGGCATTCTATGTTTCAAAGTGCTGAAAACACAGAAAACTTAAGAGGTTTTGACGAATTTGATAAACAGTTTTAAAGTCATCATCTAGGTTTACTGAGTTATGGAAACCGATAAAATATTCAAGAATAGAAATTCGAAAAGACTTTCTTTCATCTTTATAAAACCAAGCTGGGACATGTTTTCGTATATGTGTAGAAAGTATTCTCCGACTACGGCCTATATACCTTGGTCCAGAAGGTGAACTGATAGATGCACACATATACAGCTAAACAAAAAAACATATATTTAACAAAAATGTAGAGTAGTTTACGGCTGGTAAAAGTGAATTCAAGTCTTGCTGCAAAGAGAGTTTTATTGATTGATTTCCACAGATGATCCTTGAGTACATGTGATGTTTGAACTCTGAAGTTGACAGAATCCTACTGAAATTTCAGAAAATGCATTAGCTAAGTTAAAATAAGAGTAATTGCATTTTAGGTGATTCATTACGTAAATCACATAGTGGAACAGTATTCTTTACTCGATTACCTTTCGAATATAATTCATTGTCCATAGTCATATCATGATAACTACACAAATTTGAGACATCATTCATATGGTCCTAATTTCTTCACCTCATTTATGATATGGGTAGTAGGGTTATTTCTGTCACATGAATTAGGTGTTGATTCGATAAACAAAGATCCAGTTATCAATCTCATCCTACACGTAGGTATATTGGATTTCAGAGTGAACTGTCACCCTATCCAAGCATCCTACAGCTGGTATGATTATGGATCAGTGTACGTATGAGTATGGTTGAGCTTTTTTCTAAACTCCTTATTTAATTCAGAACTACTGGTTCTGAACTAGATAGGTTTATGTACTCGGATAGCCTAATTGACCCTGGTCGACTACTTTGCATTAGTTTTAAACAGATAACCAGTTATACCTTAGTTAGTTTGAAGATGTAACTCAAAGTGCTTTTAGTCTGAAAAAATGATGAAAACTGATGAACATAATCAGATCGAAACAATCTAACCTAAGGGCAAATTCATCCATTTCCTTCTGAATTCCAAAAGGTTTTTAACTGATGCAATTTATCTTTGTAACATTTAATTTCCCGTCGATGATTTAACCGAATCTACCTGCCTCTACTGCCCTGACATTACCAATCATTTCTCTTCATAGTAATGGTGGATACTGGCTAGCAACGGAATTCAGGTAGAGCGTTTATCCTCATTAGTTGAATGTGCCTGCCTCCCTAGGTGACATTATTTCCACTGAGACTCTAACGCAGAATTCATCGCTTTAAACATGAAAGCGTTATCCATCAAGAGTCCTAGATTCCACTACTAACCTCCAGCTATCATCACTATGCTTCAGTTTGTTCTGAAAATTGTCTTTAAATTAGTTAACATCCACAGCCGTTGTACTTAAAACTTCATGTTTTCAAGATATGAGTCTTGTAGCTCAACTGGTTGAATACCCATCATGAAACCCCGGCCCAGCGTTTTGAATCTTTCCATGACTAAGACTTTTATTTCACCTTCAATTATTACCCAATATCAGCACTAAAGAGCTCAATTCGCCACATGACTACACAATATGGTACCTTTAGAAAGTTAAGTCCGGAATTTTTATTTGAACTTGATGCGGTACAATCATGTTAATGAAGAATTATCTTGTTTTTTTAGTACATACAGAATACCGTCTATCACATTTTTAACATAGCCAACAAAATCATTCATTGATAATCATAAAAGATTCTATTTAATATTGAATATTCAACATTAGTCTAGGATTATTTGTTTTAAATCTTCACATATACCATTTTTAATAACAACTTTTTAAAATGTTTTTTTTTTCATTCATTTGAATTCATGTTAGGTTGAGAAGTTTACACAATTGTCCGAAGTTGAAATTAAGTCGAAAATTAATGAAATCTGCAAAGATACATTCTGAGTATCTTCGAGAACAACGTCAATTACAACAGAGACCAGATTTTAAATGTGGTCAAAATATGGCATTGATAATTGGACAACAAGAATTTAAAGTTGCTGGTATTTTTATGATATTTATTATAATTTGTTTATATTCTTTCTTACTGATACATTTTTTTGAATGAACATTTTATCAAAAAGATTAATTTCACCGATAAATTTACTTTTCTCTTTTTGGTTCCTAGTGGAACATAAAGATTCAGTAGCATGCTGCCATTCCACTCTCTTCTCTACAGTCTTTTGAGCCTGACTCCACCATAGCTCACAAGCTTTCATTTCTTCCTCACATGATCTCCTTCATGTTACCATCAGTTGGGACGCTCAACTTGTCGTTTCCCCTTTGGATTCCACTCGAGGGCATGATGTGTGATGTTCCTGATCGGCCTTCACAGTGTATGTCCAATCCATCTCCACTTTCTTGTGCGTATCTGTTGGCTGATAGGTTCTTGGTTGGTTCGTTCCTAGAGTTCCTTGTTGCTTATTCTTATTATTCTGGCCATTTGATCTTCACTATCAAGCCAGTGTAGGCAGCTGTTGATGTGATGTATGTGTGTAGTTTGTTAGAAATGCTTTTTGTGACGCGCCGAGTTTATGAACCATATAGCGGCACTGACTTGACTGGTATTGGTGTTGAAAATCCGGATCTTGTTCTTTGTGCTGAGTACAGTAGATCTCCACACTGATTTCAGATTCATGAAAGCCTAAATGCATATACAAAGCTTTATAATATAGTGAATTCAAGGTCAAGTGATTGTTTTTATACATATCTTGATATCACAAATTACTGATTCTAACTGTTTAATACTGTAATGATCAAAATCTAAACCAGATATTCTGCAAAATTACTATTTATAAGCGTTCAAAAAGTATGTCTACGGTTTGAAGTTTTGTTTTCCTAATTGCCAACAAATCAGTATGTTATTTGTTTTCTTTGAATGAATCTATTTGATTGAACAGTGGAGATATGGAGATTAAACAGAAAATTATTTTTGAGATGAATGGGGATTTTTAATTTAGAAGTAGTATTCATCATGGACTGGCATCAGTTGGGGAACCATTGAAAATCTGGGAGCACTGGACAGCTGTTTCGTCCTAGTATGGGACTCCTCATCTCAAAAATACATTACTCTATAGTGCTCATTAGTGACTTGTTTCCAGATGGATATCAGGAAGTTCTAATGAGAAGCCGTGACCTGTGGGGTCAACCAGTCAGAAGTGAAGTGGATGCTAACTGAAGACCATGGGTGACAGTCACGCTGTGTTGTGAATTGACAGAAGTTGGAAATTGTGAACCACTGGAAACCGACCCATTGGCTGAATGGTTAACGCCTTCGCCGTGGAACCTGAGGGTCGTGGGTGTGTACTGCTGAGGAGTCCCATATTAGGACGAAACAGCTGCCCAGTGCTCCCAGATTTTCAATAGTTCCCCAACTGATATCAGTCCATGATGAATACTACCTCTAAATTAAAAATCCCCATTCATCTCAAAAATAATTTTGAGTTCCCATTTATAATGGACTGACGTCGTTTGGAGTAACACTGGAAACTTTGGGCCACTGAACAACAATACGCACCCATGACCTTACCCAGGACGTTCAGGTTCTACGGACACTACGTTACTACTGAGTTGGAGGGTGGGAACCTAATGGCCCACATTTTCCTATTTATGTCAGTTCGCAGTATACTATGACTTCCATTGCTGAGTACTTATCCTCACGTTGGACTACGTTTGCCTCATTAAGACTTCGGAAGCCTGACACTAATGAGCACTAAACAGTTATTCGGTTTTGGAAGTTTGTAGGGATTCATTAGTTTCAAGTTGGTGTTCATCACAGTGATATCACTCAGGGAACTGCTGATCGAGATAGCGAATCCCATTTGCCCCTTTAAAATATTTCAATTTACTCAGACCATTTACAAACTTACATTACTTATTTCTGGTCAGTAGAGTGTTCTGTAAGTCTACATGTATACAAGCTTCGCTGAAGCAATGAAAAGAAAACATGGGTGAAGACGAATCCTGTAAGTATCACTCATACTAGATTCAAGGACTTTTTTGATTTCAGATCATTAAAATCAAAGTTTCAAAGATGTATGTAAGATTAGCTGAATAGGCTGTAACATTTAACAGTTCAATTTGCTACTCCTAGCGTCAACACATTCAGGTGCTGATCATAAAGAGGTAAGCCAAAGAAATGGCATTGTTTGGCCACGAGAGGGAAACCGATTTCATGTTATCTAGTCCTGAATCCTCATCAAATTCTATCGGTCATTTTTGCAACGTGACCAACAAGCTAGGAGGCTCAGTATCACGGTACATCCAGTCCTACAGAACGTCACTCCCTCACCGAATAACTCGCTGGTAATGTACCAAATTACAACACCATGTGGTGTGAGTTAGAATCCTAGGTGGAATATCAATTCCGTCCAAGGCTCCTTGCTGATAGCTTCCAGCCAACTAACATCTAACAAAGAAGTAAATTATCATTTGACTATATGAGATAGTCGTAGTTTGACAGACTGGTATTTATACTGTGTGATAACTGAACCAGCGACCACCCGATGGTTCAGTTCAATCTGAGAATTGCCAGAATACTTCTCCAGATGTTCAGAAGTCATTGTCAATGGGAATGTACAGTTTAGATAGGCTAAATAGTTTAAGGAATTTTCTGTGATTAAGTTAACTACTACAAATGACTTCAAATTAAATAGACAGTTGCAAATGCTCACTATTAAATTTGATGACTAAATATTTATTCTATGAATTCTGCTTACAAAAGACTATTTTTTATCACACCAAGTAAACTGCTTGTTTTAAGTTTATAAAGTAATCACTGAGTACAATTACAAGAGTCAAATAAGATTCACTAGTTCAAACTGATTTGATTTGATTTGACTGGAACTTTAGATTATGAATATTGAAGATAATATGAATTTTTTAAGAGAATGTATCTACTGATGACAGATACTCGCCGCCAACCAGGAAATGAACTCACATAGAAACTTAGGTCAACCATAGGGTAATGTACAACAATCATTTTTTGTCATTAACTGAATCAATAAATACATGAAAGGTTTTAACCCGTACACTTGACAGATGGTTTTTTATAATGTAGTGTATATGAATATACTTTAATTATTAGATTTTAATATATGACCTTCTTAACTCTTAGCTTATTCATGTAAAGATTACTTTGGCTCAAATTGATTTTATCATATGACTGGGTGATTTTAAGTAGATAATTATGAGCGCCGTTCTTTTTTGGCGACTGTGATAATCATAACTGATTAGTACAGAATATATGTTCAGCATAAAGATCGTATGAATGCAGAGAGAGAGAGAGAGAGAGAGAGAGAGAAATGACAGTAATAGGAGGCAGTCAACGAATAAACTTTAAATGTAAAAATATACTTAGGGATTCATTGAAGTTACTTCAGTTCCCGTATGAGGATTTATCATTACTGTAATTAAAACACTGAATATCCATTGCCTTTCTGGAACTGTTCTATCAAGCATTTCAACTAATACTGGTGAAAAATGATGTCATCTTATAAAACTGCCCCAGTATTAATTAACTTGTAAATATTATAACATTATTTGATATTTTCCAAGTCTTAACATTTTATCACAGAAATTTGATAAGTAGACTTGATATCATTAGCAGCTTACCGCCAGCCTAAGCCATAAATTTATTTTTCTTGTCTTACACGCTTTTCTAGGTCTCAACGCTGCACAAGCATGGTATAAACAGTCCGAAAATTATGATTATAAAGAGCACAGTCAAGAATCAAGAGGTAATTTATTCACTAACGTTTACTTGAACTACTTATGAGTAAGCAAATGACTTTTTGTTATATTTTCCTCAATTAGTAAGTCATCTTTTACGTTTAAGTAACCAAAGATGAATCCTGATTGATTTGGAAAACACTTTCACGCACTTTTATGCATATTCATCAAGTCAAATAGTTTTTATCTGATAAAATTCCGATACAGCACATGAAAGTAGCACAGTAAATGAACAGATACATAATTCTCAATGTTTCAACCTTGCTGGGAAGATACTTTTCAGAAGTACAGAACTGAAATTGAATTTTTACACACATGCACTTCAGCTCCTAAAATAGATTTTTCTAGCATGTTTCTTTCATACTCACCACTTTTTCAATGATCATATATATATATATATCCCTTGACCAATGAAACTCTGGATTAGTCGTAGTTCGACAGACTGGTGTTATCGACATTCAGTGACAACTGAAATTGAAAACTTGGGTTCATCAGAATTGAGCCCAATATGATTAAGATGGACGGAAAGTTATGTATCATGGATCCAAATGGCAGGGGAGAAAAAGCCTGAGTAATTGAAATTAAGTTGAGATGTGGTCATCTGCTGGATGTATCACCTCATTAAGTTGAGCATCAATGCCACCTCCTGGTGCCACTAGTTCAAACCCTACTACCAACAAATTTTTCATTTTTCCTCCAGTTATCATCCAGAATCAGTGTTCCTGTCTAATTAATAACACAATACATTCATATCTTACTTGTATTTAGAATGTTCTGTAGTTTGCAGGCATCTTCTCACTGATAAATTTCAGTAGAAGTCGTAGTTCTATAACTTCAGAGCAATCAACTGGTGTAGACAAGTCTTTAAAGTGTTCAAAAACTTAAAAAACCCAGCTGTAATGTATTTCTAGTTATTCTTCATAAGCTATTTGTAAGTAAGTAAAGTAAACAATAGTTCTCATTTTAGTAACTCAGTAACCATAGTTCAATGACCTACTGGATATCCCTAAACCATCAAGATTTTAAAGTAGCCAAGAAGAGAGCTGTAAAGATGGGAATATAAAGCGCAAGACATCAGGTTCTCTCAATGAAATCATATAGTGGTATCGCATAACATAAAATCGTATAACCAGATTGCAATGGTGTTTAGTCTTCAGTCACACTACCTCTTCTCTGAAATTTGATCATAAACTATGATTGCATTCTTTTACAGTTGGCCACAAACTGACCTATTATCGCTTCTTCAAATCTTTCTTCCGATTGTTACTAACTTGCTACTTAAAGGACAGTCTGGTTCTACGATTCGGTCATTCAGCTTAATATACATAGGTCTACATGTATATTTTCAATACAAGACGTCTTCTGTAGATCGTTGCTGTGCTTGCATCAATTTATAAATGCCTCCTTTAAGTTTAAGATAGCCTCTTCTGACAAACCAGTCATTGTTTTCCACTACGAAATACTTTTGAAGATAACTGAATCATAAAATTTTACTTTGTGCTATGAGTTGGTAAGAAGAGCATAAAGCTGGTTACCTCGGTTTCTTTGAGTTGTTCTAATCCTGATGTGCATGCTGAAAAGCCTGAAAACTTGAGTTATCTACAAAGACGGACCGGATCATATATTATTTCTACTGACGAGTACTGAAGTACGGAGAAGTAATCCTAAGTAATGCGAATCCATGCCAGGGTAACCACTGAGAAATGGAATTCACATTAGCGCCATGGTTAAATTGTCACTGCTAAGTATCAGGTCACAAACTTGAAAATAAGATCAGCATATCCAAACATCTTTGACAGGTGATCAGATGATTGACTTCGAATTTCTTCAAGTAGAAAGTATTACAAGATCAGATTATTTTCAACAGGTTTCGTTATGTTTTATGGAAAATTTCAAGGACGAGTAATGTAATCATGGATTTGACTAGAGTAAAGTGAAGGAACAAGACGTATAAGCAAAAAATATTGTTTTCAACTAGATCCTCTGCAGGCTTTAATCTAGTATCAGTAGTAAACATGTATATGAAGATAATACTAATCACAGTGACTTGTCAGTCAGTAATAAGTGGCTTTAAGATATCTAGATAACAACAGAGATGGTAATAATCATCAAGATAATAAGGCTGATAGTCGTAGTGATAGTATAAACTAAATTATCTAGAACGCCGCCGATAATAGCTATTACCAACAAGGTAGAGCATGTTAATGTAGAAACTCTGACAATCATAGTTGACCAAAAGACAAGGAAAATAAGAGTTACATAATACTAAAAGGCGAAGTAAAGGGATAAATAGTATAAATATATGTAGTAGGTCAGTAGTGGATAGCAGCTAGTAGCAGAATCCAAGACACGCATTTCGCCCCATTTGCGACTCGTCAGCTGAATGTACCTGCCCCCCACTAGGACTCGAACTCGAAACTAATCATTTCAAACTTCAGACCATTATCCACTAAACCACCGGGATACGACAGCTACTTCTTGTGCCAGCGGGTATAGTTTTAATATTGTTACTTGTATTAGGTATGTTTACGGGATGAAGACTACGAATGGGATAGGAAAATTTCAATTATGAAGCTGTTTCTAAGGATTTTCTGGGTCAAGGGAAAGGAAGAGGATATGGAAACTACATATGGATGCAAAGACTTGTATTATTAGTTTGGATTCCTGTAGCTTCCACTATGTGTAAAACACAAGTTGAAATGCTAATTGATGAGATGAAATAGAGCATGTAATGAATTTTATCCGTCTCTTTTTGAACTATGAAGGTAGATACTCAGTAAAACTTCTATCAACTTGAATAGTAGTACGCTACATACAACGATTTAAATTGACGTAAGTGAAGATTTCTTGTAGGTTTGAATGCAGTTGTCTATAAGGATAGATATTTACAAGCCGGTGAAACGAAACACACTAGTTGTGTAAGATTCTGGGTTGTTCTACAGCTAATATACCTTATACATGATTTTAAGAGTAACGATTCATTTAGTTCTTTGACAGATACCAGTATTTATATGGTAAAAATTAACTTATGATTATTTGTACACTACAGATGAGCTTGGCTCTTGAGCAGGGAACTGGCTATTTGGCATTTACTTCACTCTGATCTGGCTGCAGAAATCTACAAATCAGCCTGAGTGATTACTAACTACTCATGTTTTTTAGTAGTATATTACATATTTGATCAACCTAAAATAAATATATACGTTGTAGGCGAACACGGTATTTTAACATATTTTGCAAAATCATCGCCTTTACATTGATATAAGTGTAAAACTTGGGCACTGTGGTCGAGTGTAATTCCATTTTAGTTTGTTTATTAGAAATATCACACAGTGAGGGAACAGTAGTATTTACTGGATAACGTTTCGGATATGATTTATTGTCCATATTCATATCAGGTAACCAAACTCCACAACTTCGAGACAGTCTTTATATATTCCTAGTCTTCTCTCCTTCTCTGTGATGACAAGGGTAGTAGAATTTTCCATATATCCGGGACAGGTGAAGAATCATTCCTGTAACTGCATATATTCGGTGTTGATTCGATAAACAAAGATTCGGTTATTACTCTCCCCGTCCCTACACCCAACCAACTAAGTTAGTTTTTAACGCTATCGTTCTATCCCACTCTACTGTGTGATTGTGTATCATCGCATACAGAGCTATAGCCGAGTTTTTCTCTACATTTCTTATCTTATTAGGATCTACTAATCTTGATTTAGGTAAGTTTTTGTGCTCTGTTATTCTAATCGACCCTGGTCGACTGCTTTCACCTATGTACTTGGCCTCGCAGTCATTGCAAGGAATCTGGTAGACCAGATTATTTTGCTCAGTTGCATCCATAGGATCTTTTAACCTAGAAGGCTTGTTTCTAAGTGAGTTTGTTGGTTTGAATGCCACTTTAATCCCAGCCTTATTGAGAATTCCTTGTAGTTCTTCTGAGGTGCCTTCGTTGTATGGTAACACAGCAGAGGCTTTGAATTCTCTATTAACCCTGTCGCCATTATTACCACTAGTAGTGGGATTATTATTAATAACATTTGTATTACTACTACTACAGGCTATTTTACGCAAATGATTTGGAAACAAACGAGTAAAGTTGGTTTTGGATTCACTTTCGCAGAGACAGGAAACATAGTCTTTGTGGTAGGACATTACTCACCACCTGGTAATAAAAGTGGGGAATATCAGGTGAATGTCCCACCACAAGTAGGTGAGTTACAAATAATACCTCTGTCAATATGCATTATTATGCTTTTCAGTATTCTCAAATGTTGTTAATCTAAGTTGTTTTATCTGTGAACTATCAAAATGACACCTTGCATTAAAATAAGAATGACTGAGGATTAAATAAAACTTGTATCGCACACACACACACACACACAGTTAGACTGGAGGCTATAGACATTTTGACTCGTATCCTGAACCACAAAACTTGTTTTTAAATAGCTGCTGGTTTGAATTTAAGGAATTCTTCACCATAGATTGATATCAGTTTGAGAACCATTAAAAACCTGAGAACATCGGACACCTGTTTCGTCCTAGAATAGGACTTGTCAGTAGTGAGTACCCACGACCCCTGCAGGGCTCGAACTAGAAACCTTCAATTTTCACGAAGAACTTAATCATCGAAATATGATCAATCAGTTAGATAGAACTATTTGTTACAGCTGGTTTAGCGTACAGTCATAATACTGTCAATTCAGTTCATTTTGAACAAAGTATCCCCTCAAAGATAGATACACTTTATCCTATCAAACAGTATCACTTTACAAACAACCACTTTGAAAAACCAGTGAAGACTGATAATTTAGAATCAGGATGATCACTTTTAAGCATACTTCAAGCTTTTATACATGATCATGAATGTTTTATTACTACTCTGGATGATATCGCAAAAAATAACTTCATAAAGATGCATGTAATCTCTTCATAGAATATTCGCTAACTTATTGCTGAATGAAAAACGGATTTATCAGCTAAGGTCGTAAATTATATGTCATCGATACAAAGGTCAATGATTAGAATCCATCCGTATACGTCTTCTTACTTTTCTTCTGCAAACGTTGCCTCGTTAGGAAAAGACTAGTTTGCCAAACCATTGCTAATTCCCGATAATCCACAGGGGTCCAACTAAATTGCAATTAAAAGACTGTTTTGAATGAGTTTTAAGCAGTATCAAGCTCAACCAACAAGATCACAAGTAATTAGATAGGATTTACATTGTGTATGTTTATTAATATATGCATAAAAATCCAACCCAATATGTAAGCGTTCTCAAATTTTGGAACCGTTTTCCTTGCACTAATCTTTAAAATCTCACTTAAGCAACACTGAAGTGCTTGATATTCAGAGAAATATTATTGCTCTGAGTGCTAAGTAACTTGATTCTACGTCAATTTCATATATTCTATGTTGTCGTTGTAAGTTTTGTGAGGTTATTCAGACGTCAGTTATATATTAGCCAGTTTAGAAAATGTTGATTCAGTTGACAAGATAGAACTTCTTGGTTACACAGACATTTTTTGAATGATGATTAACTTAAAATAGTTTAGTTCTCTGGAATGAAGTCACATGAAAAGTAATTCAGACTAAGATATACTCAGCTACTTCTTAATCTGTATATAAGCCTCTTTACAATAATCTGGACCCTGATTACTCCTTGGAGAATAGTTGATTTCACATTGTCTAGTTACAGGCATTGAACGAATTCCGTCAATCTTTTTACAACGTGGTCATCAAGCTAGGAGACTCACCATTGCGGTAAACGTTGATTAGTTTTAGATGGTTGAAATCAGCCAACAGGAAGTCCGGAATCTGGGTTTTGCATTTGTCAGCACTCATCAGCAAGTCACACCTGCAACCTTATTAGAGAGCTAATTTACCCTCGCTGGTCCAAGCTCACATTACTCTGTGCTGAAACCAGAGCAGTTACCGGTTAGCTTTTCTGGACATAATTGCCACTAAGCATGAAAACGAAATCTAAGGGTTTACTGGCCTTGGTGACTGGCAGTGGAATCCAGGATGTACGTTTCGTCCTATTTCGGACTCATCAGCTGGATGTCCCTGCAACTTGGCGAATGATGTTATTCTTACTGGGGTTCAAACCCAGTACCTTTCGCTTCAAACGCCAGAGCGTCATCCATCAAGTCACTGGGGGCGACAGCCACCTCTTGTGCAAGGGTTATCAGTTGTTGTAATGATACTTGTAATTTCCCGTTGCTGTACAGGGCCGAATTGCTCAATCACTGTTGGCAGACGATCTCCTATGCGGATATCTCGATACTACTGAATACTCATGACGTCATATTATTCTTGGTGACTAGAACGCGCTTTTCATCCTATTTGGGACTGATCAGCTGGATTTACCTGCACCCCAGTGAGTGATGTAACCTACCTTTAATCTCCTAACATGAATCAAAGTTCATTCTGATGATGAATTAACAAGCTTGGTGACGGAATTGCAAAATGACCAGTAGAATTTGGATGACACTTAGGACTAAAAGGTATGAAATTGCCAGCTCTTCAAGGACCAAGTAGTATTTATCACCCAGTCCTACAGAAGGTCAGTTGCGGTCAAACTATCTCGGTGTTTACAGTACTGGGGGGTGTAGGTTTTAGTTTTCGAGGCGGCACCAGCTCCTTCTAGATTGCAGATGTATCTAATCAACGTATGCCAATAAGTACCAGACCTAGATACAGGGCTTTATTTTCACTGCTTGCAACTACAAGACATCCCCTTGTTTAGATCTATGATAGAATCTTAAATTCTCTGGTCTCATAGACAAAATAATAAAACTATTTTACCAGTCTAAATAATAATAATAATGACAGTAATAAAGCCTAATAGCAGAAAGTGTTATTACCTCTAGTAAAACTCCGCAGGTCACTATGATGAACCTGTCCAAACTCAGAAAGAATGACTCACTTGTGAACTCTTTATTTTTAACTTGTCATTTTATCAGTAATATTACTTCATTATTTTTTGAATCATACTGAGAATTAGTAAATGTTCTATCTTTTAAAGAAGCCAATGAATTAGTCATCAAATCACACCGTTCAAAAGTGACTCATACACAACCTAAACATCCTAAGAATAATTGTCCATCAGGTCAATGTGTTATTATCTAAAAGGTGTTTATGCTATTTTTCTAATATAAAGTTAACGTTTTGAAAACTGTACAATATGATGTGTTCTATGTTCAATGATGTTTGTTAGGCGCTGTAATCAAATTGAAATTTCTATGTAAATACTCTTTAACTTTTGATTTATTTGTCATATTTTGAAAAAGATGGAAGTATATAATGTCTTTTAAAAAGTATTCTGTTTAGCTTTGTCATTCCCAGCCACTACCTATGATTACTGTAAATTTGAAATTGTCAGCAATATCAGGGTAACCACACAACAATGGCTGGTTGATGTGATTCAATCAAGGATAAGAAACAAAAGGTTATAACACCAATCTATATGAAGAATGATTAATGTGACTCAGTGATCTAGTGGATAAAAATTTAAAGTTTACAGTGATAGGTGTTAAGTTCGATTTTCATCAGGCAAAAATGTCATTCATGTGGAATCAGATACATTCATCCAAGAAGCTCAAAATAGAAAGGAACGTAGTATGTTGATTGCAATATCCACAATTTCTAATAAAGCAAACAATAACTAAAACTACTCGACCGAATATATCATAGTGTAAAAATAATTAGACCAAGAGTATTGATCTTTATGAATAATTAAAACTCGATTCCTCACTTCAGAGTTGATACTTATTAGACTCAATTATATAATGTGTTGTTGTTTTTAACTGACTTAGCATGCTGGAAAGTTATATGCATGCACAGAATTCATAAAGATTACACAATAAGTGATGAAATGTTCTTAGAGGAAGTAAATCAAGATTTAATCTTGAAGGTATCAATGAAAGTTGTTTGAAATACAAATTCCGTAAAAAAAGTTGCCATATTTAAACAATCCCTCCGTGGATTTTGAAGTTTTAAATGATATCCTCTCACACCATAAGTTTCAAGATGAATGAGTAAATATTTATAAAACTGTAATGTAGTGGATGACTGTATCATCATCACCAATATCAACATAGAACCAGGCATTACTGCATAACTGTCCGAGTTGCCACAGCTCATATCAGTACATCAAGTAGAAAGGTAGTGAGGTGAAAGATGAAGATAAGAAAATTCATTCAAAAGAAATATAAAGTACGAAAAGAGAGAAAGGAAGAATGAGAAAACGGTGAGATTCGGTATAGCGTCGTTAAGATGAAGATAATGTGTGTATACATCTGCGCCACTGACATCGGTTCTGAGCCATGTGATCACCTAGAGTCCCAAACCACTGGTTCTTCTTGTCTCGCGGATCCCAACCACCTAGTCTGCATCACCCCACATGGCTCAAACCAACAGTCAGAGACTTCATACATTGATGTCATGTTTTAGTCTGGCCACCTCGGGCCTTCTTCCAGCCTGGACCTACTTCGGCCAACATTGTGTGAGGAGGCAATCGGTGACTAGGCACACGTAATACGTGTCCCAACCATCTCAATTGATGAAGGTTCACAACCTCGTCTACTGATTTACGCAATCTCCCTAAAACTCAACGTCTGAGTCCGACTTCTGCGTTACTCACGCGGTGACACCAAGGAATACGGTGGCCTATACTACGAAGGCAAGGGTGGTCAAACACCTGAAGCCAACCTTCTCATGTCTTCCACCTTCAGTGGCCATGTTTCACAGCTATAAAGTAGAACAGACCGGACTGCTGTGCAGTACACACGACCCTTAATAGACAAACGGATATGACGGTGGCGCCATAGGTGGCGCAAATTGTATTGTATTGTAGGCAATAATAACAGAAATATCAGAAATTCAACTATCACACCAATTAAACAGAAGTTAAGAATTCATAATCAACGGAATTCTTTATATTATTGTAAATATTGAATAAAAACAAATAACAATAAGCATTTACATACTACAGTAACTGAAATAGTCATTCAAACTATTTATTTCATGTTCATTATGTGAATATCAGATCCATTTCTAACCTAAATTGAGGTACAAAAAAGAAATGGAGACTGTCTACTTTTTGTTTCTGAGGAAGACTAAGGAACTCTTGACTACCTCATCTTTTGTCTTATGACTATATTCTAGTGTACCTGGGTGATATTTAAGATATTGACTAGCTGCTTGTACTCCATTGTCAAAATGAAGCTTCATATATTTCACACACAAAATTTTGAACATATCTTCTATGAATTTCCGGATGAGACGACTGATTTCAGAAGCTTTTGGCAACTCTTATGCTAAATTGTATGTTTTTTGAGAATACAATTTACAATAATAATATTCTTATCTTGAAATGATGGGAAAGCTTTGCAGCTCAGGATGAGGATACTGATAGTTAGGATGGTTGTTTTCTTCCTAAGTAGATTGCAGATTCAGTCTATATCCATATGTCTGTTATTTGGTATTTCGTTCATTTCAAACGACATGTTAATCAACAGACATGTAGATACAGACCTAATCTACTTAGGAAAAAAACAATCATTCATCAACCAAAGATAAATTAACTGGAAAAGTCAATAATGATGCACAGTGTGACGATAACAAACAGCATAATTTCATTTTGACAAAGATTCTCTACTAATGTGACTGAAGGAAATTTAAGGTCAAAGGGGTCAGTATATGTTAGAAATCTCTTCCTCAACCTACAATTGGATAATATGTTAAGTCAATAAAAACACTGTCTGAACATTCGTGTAATATTCGTATATGCTTCATTTCTTCATGAAGTTGGTGCTGAAGATGTCACTGTCGTCAACGTTTCACCACTAGACTTAAAGTACCAAAGCTCAGAGAACGCTAAACCACCATCACACTCTTATCTTCTTACTCGTGAACATTACGCATAAGTAAATCAGTAGAAGTGGAATTACGTGGTTCGCAATAACCACTTTGGATGACTGTGCTCATATTAATTTTATAACCACCTCTTTAGCTATTTACTTATGTTTTCAGGTCTTTATACAAAAAATACCCTACCTTCGTCACTATACATAGCTCCTTGAAGTTTAACTTCATTTAGAAGAATAACCAATGATCTAACTTCTATCCATAATTTATTGATGCATTATTGGAACAGAAGAAAGTTTGCGATTGCACTGGAGTTAAACTAGTTTTCTCTAATCTCTTTGCCAACAGTACTTCATCATTTCTTTTCTCATCACTAAAAAATTCTTTACTCAATCCCTAAGGCTTACCGGTTATCAACGGTTCTCAGTTAAATCAGGAGCGTAAGTAGATTAATGCGTATTCATTTGACTAATTAATGTTGGATATGTTGACCAGATCTCTTCTTCTTGCAAATAGATTTGCTTAATAAGAGCAACTAAACACAAAGTTTTGTTTCCCTTTATCTTAAGCTCTATTCTTTTCTGTATGTTTTCAAGAAAGTATTATGGATCATCTTCTTCAAAAAGTTGGACAGGCAAAATGGTCTAACTAACCTAACACTTAGGTCTAACTAACTTGGTCGATAACTTACCTAACGTGTAAGTACTGACAGAGGACTACAAATCAGAAGGATCTGTATTCAGGAATATATTCAAAAGAGCAATATATTTAAATAGAATAAACGTGATAGTGATTATTAGGGGAAAAGTGAATTCAACTTATCTGTCTGATATAGTTGAACTAAGTAAGAACTCTCAAAAAGTGCGTGTTAACCAGTACAAAGAAAGCGTAAAATGGCGTCAAAGCCTGCTTGGATGCATGCTTGTTCAAACAAAACTTAAAGCACTCCAAGCATTCGGAGAGTAGATAGAAGTTTATTAATATTTAGTTAATTCACTTTAATCTATTCATTTTAGCCGTAGTTGCATTTTGATCCCAGAAAGGTGCACTACAGTTGTATACTTTTCATCTCCTTGGATTGTTTAAGTGACATATAAAATAATAATAATATTATTTTCACGATAATTATCACGGAATGCTGATAGAATGTGAGGATGTAGCTCATCAAGTCGGCTAGATTTCCTAAGGTCAAGAATCTTGGGTAGCCATATTATTAACCCTTTGTCAGTGACCACTTTATTTTAAAGTTATAGTTGGAAACAGTTATTGTGTATTCACTTCAGTCTTGGAAGAACAATTGGTTGTGGTATTCTGACAAGACTTGATGGAAAACTTTTAAACCTTCACATAATTTCTTATGAAGTTCTGGTGCTGAATTGTATTCATTTCTTTGAGTTTTCCTAGCAATTTAAGAGAATAATTCTCTGAAGAAGTGCGGGAAATCCTTAGTATTTTTTCATCATGCCGTTTGCAAGTTCCTACGGAGAATATCCGTATAAAGTAACGATTTTTTGCCAAAATTCATATGGAAACCACATTTTTATAGGTGTGGTTTTATTCCAACAGACCGCCGATTTCCATCTCAATGTTGTATCTAGTTGAAAGTAGTCATACATTTGAAAAGAACTATCTGTACATTTTTGGAGTTGTGTTCCGCCTTGTGATTCCTAAGTATTGAGTTGCACAAGCTCTGGACTCATGGATAAAGTGGCTTTGTTAAACGTTTAGACTAAAGTTTGTGTCAAACCGGCAGAAAGAACTTTTTAAAACTATGGATCTCCACACAGTTACGTGATAGAAAACTGTATTGTTTTTACCAATAGTAAAATTCTGGAGAAGTGAACTCTTCCACTAATTAAGCAGAAGTCAGAAATTAGCAATTAGTAAGAGCATTTGTATAATCTGAATGCATTGAATCTAAACAAATAATTATGAACACTTATATAATGCACCAACTGAAATAGTCATTTACCACAGCTCATTTTTATTTAGTTTGGAACTATTTAGAACTTCTTATCCATGATCTCCTATCAGGATGAAATGAGAGCCGTCTGTTCTAGTAGCAAGCATTTTATTACTGTGGAATAAACTTAACAGTTTCATGATGAGCAGACAGTGAATCATGAATTAAAATTATGCAGCAACTTAACTAACTACTCATTACAGTAAGCAGTATTCAGACTATAGTAGAAGTATTATTGTAGTTGATAAATAAATTAACTATCAGTGTTTAGATACACTTATAATTTTGCATTTCAAGA